GCCTAAATGACCTTCAAGATGCCCACGTGTTCCCCGAAGGCTTTCCAAACCGATTCGGGGAACACGTGGTCCGATAGCTTGGCAGGTCTGGCCTCAACGTTCGGCCACATAGGCGCTTCCAAAAAGGCAGGGGGCGGCGGTGATTCGCCGTAGGCGTCTTCGATACGCGAAGCACCAGCTGGCGAAGGGCCCTGCCCTGCCCTGTGCGGTCGCCTGTGGCGCAGGGCGCGGCCCTGTCTTACTGCTGCGCAACTCCGCGTGGGGCACGCTCTGCGCAAAGGGGAGCCCCCCAATGCTCTCCGAGTGCCCCCGCGCGAAAGCCCGCCCACGGAGGCCGCGCGTGGAGGTCCCTGTGGGGCACGACCTCGCGTGTCTCGACGCGGGTGCGGGGCCGCCCTGCGAGGTCGCCGAGAGGCGTCGTGGGTGGAGCTCCTTCTGGGGCACGAGCCGCGCGAGGGGCGTGCCGACATGGTCGGGGGACGGGCATGCGAACCTTGTCCCTAGAGCTGTTGGCGGTGTTCCCCGTGGGGCACGATCCGCGTGAGGTGTGTGTGTGTGTGTGTGTGTGTGTGTGTGTGTGTGTGTGTGTGTGTGTGTGCGTGCGTGCGTGCGTGTGTGTGTGTGTGTGTGTGTGTTGTGTGTGTGTGTGTGTGTTTGCGTGCGTGCGTGCGATGTGTGCGTGTGTGTGTGTTGTGTGTGTCTATTATGTGTTTGTGGGTGTGTGTGTGTGTGTGTGTGTGTGTGTGTGTGTGCGTGTGTGTGTGTGTGTGTGTGTGTGTGTGTGTGTGCGTGTGTGCGTGTGTGTGTGTGTGTGGTGTGTATGTGTGTGTGTGTGTTTGTGTGTGTGTGTGTGTGTGGGTGTGCCTTCTCCCCCGTGCACCGCGGTTGAACTCGCAACTGTGCATCCTACATCTGCTTCATCGCCAGCGCAGTGACTCTGCCTAGCCGCCGGCGCAAAAGTATGTGTGTGTGTGTGCTGCAGTGGGCGGGAGGGGCGTTGTGCGAGCCTCTTTTCCCTCGGGCCGTCGGTGGAATGCCCCGCGGGGCGCGGCCCGCGTGGGAGGTGTGCCGAGGCAGGCGGGAGGGGCGGCCTGCGGAGCAGCGAGCCGTCCGAGAGAGGTGTGCCAGGGTGAGCAGGGGGCTCAGTAGCGTGAGCCGATCCCCATCCCCATCCCCGTGCACATCTAGAGCCCCAGCGTCTCCTCGCCTCAGTGGGGGATACGCCCCTCGGAGCCCGAAGAGAGCAGCCCATGACCCCATCCAGGGGGGTCAATGGGCCAGAGGGGCCCAGCCCACGCCGGCGGGGATGGGGATCGTCGAGACGATGCTCAGGGGCGACGCCATGCGAAGCTGCGCTCTGGTGCCGTAAGTGCAGTCGCCTGCCGGGCACCGTCCGATCCACGTGAGGGGTGTGGCGCTGTGCGGATCTTTGTTCTGCGGCCGTAGCGGGAGCTCCCTATGGTCAAGGGCATACAAAACGCTCCTATCCTGGTTTGCGAGGCGCTGTGCGCTGAAACTCCTGTGGGTTGACAGGGTAAACCCTGCGTGATGTGCCGCGTCCTGGCGGCTCTAGGCTTTGGGGGTTCCCAAGGAGGTTTACGGACCACGCACTTGTAACCCAGGGTAGGGTCGTTTTTTCATCCCTCAATATGGGGCACGATCCCTTTGCTGGGGGACGCCATTGAGATACGTATGCCCACGTTTGCACAGGTGTTCCCACGCGGTGGTGGTGGTGGGATGGTGTGCGTGCCCATCCGCTGCTTGATAGGACGGAGCCACGCGCGCGCGAAGCGCGCGCGCGTGATTCTCTTACACCTGTCTAAACTTGTATAATGTGTGCGATCCGTCAGACAACGCGGAGCCCAAACAGTGATTTTCCGGCTGCGTAGTGCAGTACACGTGGTGTGAGGTATGTGGTGCAACATATCCAGTTGTCTGCGGCGAACCCCGCCACCGTCCCTGTGCAGCAGCGCTGCAGTAAGGAGACTGAGTGTAGAAACAGCGCAATTCCGACACGAGGTCTGATAAGGACGGGCTGTAAGCTCGACCTCGTCGTCGTCGGCGCGATAGGAAGGAGGTCGAGTTCACACCCTGCGGCAATTCAGCGAGTGGGTTGAATTGGGGACGGTCGTGATCCCGACATCGCCTTCGCCCGCGCGGTAGGGAGGAGGAGGAGCTGGAGCAGGAGCAGGAGCAGGAGCAGGAGCAGGAGGAGGAGGAGGAGGAGGAGGAGGAGGAGGAGGAGGAGGAGGAGGAGGAGGAGGAGGTGGAGGAGGAGGAGGAGGAGGAGGAGGAGCAGGAGAAGACGGAGCTGGCCGCACCCCTCGTCCCAATCCGCAGCCGCGCCAGCGGCTGGGCTGGCGCGGCCCGGTCGGGCCGGGCCCTCCCCGCCCAGCAGGAGCTGTGGCGGTGGCGCGGTGGCACGGTTGCTGTGGGGCGCGGGCCGTCTGGGGCGGCCCGGCGCCCTGTTCAGCTCAGGCCAGTAGGTGAGCGCCCGCTCGGTTCCCCAGGGTGACGATTCGTGGGCACCGAGCTGGTGACCCCTCCTCCCCTGACCTTCCAGGAGGGCTAAAAAATAGCACCAGGACGTCGACGTCCCAATTCCTGTCGAGGTTTGAGGCAGGCCAGACAGATCTACAGGTCTGGAGATTTTTTGTTTAGCACTCTGGAAGGTCAGGGTCCTGGCCCCCCCCTGAGATCCGACGTTGCAACAAAACTGGCAGCATCGCAGAAGATCGCGCCCGGAGCCCCCGACCCCTCCCGTCTGCGCCATTTCTCGAGCCGGATCGATCTGTGAGGGCTCCCGGGCCCAGACCCGCGGGCGAGAACGCCCGGTGTGCAAACGTTGCATCGCCAAGATCTCAGGGGCCCCCAGGGGAGGCTTTCGCGGTCGCGCCTGAGGAGGAGGAGGAGGAGGAGGAGGAGCGAGGAGGAGAGGAGGAGGAGGGAGGAAGATGGAGGAGGAGGGGTGGAGGAGGGAGGAGGGGAAGAGTAGGAAGTTAGGAGGAGATGGAGGAAGGAGGTGGTGGAGAGGAGGAGGGTGGAGGAGGAGGAGGAGGAGGAGGAGGAGGAGGTGGGCGGAGGAGGAGGAGGAGGGGAGGAGGAGGTCGGAGGAGGAGGAGGAGGAGGAGGAGGAGGAGGCTCTCGGGCTTCGGGATCAACATCATCTCCAGCGGCGGCGCCTCGGCGAGGGCCGCCTGCGGGCACCGGAGTCACCCTGGACGGCCGCCCAGACCTCCGACGTGGTGCTCTGCGCAAGCGTATGGGCCCTGGAGTTCCCCTGGGGACAGGTCTTCGTTGAGCTCTCGACGCCCGTCCCCGGGGGACGGGCCCTCGTCCGGGATAGTTTTTTTGTGGATTTCGGATCCACGCACAGGATCTGCAGACGCTGAAACTTGCGGGCAGCCCCCGTCTTGATTCCTTCCAGTTGTCGGGGGTCCGGGTCCTCCGCCTCCTCCTCTTCCTCCTCTTCCTTCTCCTCCTCCTCCTCCTCCTCCTCCTCCTCCTCCTCCTCCTCCTCCTCCTCCTCCTCCTCCTCCTCCGCCTGCCGCGACGGGGTCAGGCGAGGCCGCCTGAAACTCTTTGGAACCGAGGGCCCCCCTGGGACCCACACTGACTCCCCTGGGGCCCCGTGCAAGCTCTTCGCACCTTCCCCCCTTCCGCAGCCGTCCGGGCTGGGGCGAATAGCGCCACACCTCGCCACCCTCGATGCGCCATGCTCCTGCGCGAGCGCGCCCGTGGCCGCGCGCTGGCTGCCTGGGCGGACTCCTGCAGCTCTCCGGCGGCAGACCTCTGCGGCGGCCGCGGCCAGAGCGGGGCGGCGCCGTCGCCGGCGCCCTGGTCGGCGGACCCGCGCGGCGCCGCGGCGGAGCCGTGGGCTTCGCCCCCGCCGGCCGCCGCGGCGACGGGCGCCTGGTGCTCCCCTGCGGCGGAGCGCGGCGGGCCAGGGGCGGCGTCGGCGTCGACGCCCTGGTCGGCGGAGCCGCGGGCGGCGCTGTGGGCCTCGCCCCCCGCGGGCACGGCCGACGGCCCCCGGGGCTCCCCGGCGGCGGGCCCGCCCGGCAGCTGCAGCCAGCGAGCGGCGGCGCGGTCGCCGGCGCCCTGGCCGGCGGGCTCGCGAGGCGCAGCGGCGGCGCCGCCGTGGGCGTCGCCGCCAGCGGCCGCTGCGCCCTGGAGCCCCCCCGCCGCGTCGGGGCCCGCGCCCTGGGCAGCAGGGGCCAGCCTGCTCGGCCTGGCGGCGCCCGCCTCGGCGGAGGCGCTGCCGCGGGAGCTGCAGCTGCAGCCCGCGCACCACCGCCTGGTGCACGAGGCGCTCGCGCGCGCTGGGGCCCGCTTGGCGGGCGCCGTGGGGCGGCTGAAGCGGTCCTCGGCGCTGAACGTCCTGAGGGACTGGCGAGACGCGGCGGCCGCGGCTGGCATTTGCGAGCGCATCGGACGTGCCGAGGAGGTCCTGTGGCGCGAGCTGGCGGACGAGCGCCGCAGAGGGAAGCACCTCTCCAGCCAGTGGGCCCGCAGCGGCGCGCCTCGCGCACCCCGCCGCTCCTCGTGGGGCGCGGCGGGGAGCTCTGGCCAACGGGACTGCGCCGCCCGCACGCTGCAGCTTTTCTGCAGGACCCGTTCGTGCAGGCTGGCCACCAGGGAGTGCCGTCGGCGGCGGGCCGACCTCGAGCGCCGCCTGGGGGCCCTAGCCTCGGCGCGGCGCGTTGGCCACGGCGCCAAACGGCTCGCCCAGGGGTTGCGGCAGCCACTGAGGCGGCGCCTGGGTGGCGCGGTGGCGGCGTGGAGGGACGCCCTCGCCCCGTGGGACGTCCGGCTGGCCACGGCCGCGATGAGCATGTGCCGCAGCCCAGCGTGGGCGGTGGCGCTGCTCGGGGAGGACGAGGAAGGC